GGAGGAGAGCCTTCTCTGTCGGAGCTCCTGCCCTTTGGAATGAATTGCCCCCGGATATTCGTAACATCTCTGACCTCCGAGTCTTTCGCTGTGCCCTCAAGACCCTACTGTTCTGACAGGTGGGGCTGTCTAACTGAATGAGTTTAAATTGGGTTTTAATTTTGGGTTTTAAATTCGGCCAAAACTATTTAATGATTTTAATTGATTTTAACTATGATATTGTATATTTATGTTTTAATTCTGACTGTACACCACCCCAAGTCCTTCGGGAGAAGGGCGGTATATAAATAAAATTATTATTATTATTATTATAGCTAATCCTTGAATCTGAACTAGCTCATTTAGTGGATTGCCAATTCTTTTTTCAATATTGTATCCTTCATCTTGTGAGATCCTACCTTTATTTTTCTACGGTTTTTTTTACATCTTTCTCCATTGCCTCAAATAATAATAATTTATTAAACTTGTATGCTCAACAACTCTGAGTGACTCATAATCAAATAATAAAATCGATAAAGCTTTAAAAGTTAAGATAAAAGTTGGGCAGTGTGACAAAATGAGAAATCTCACTCTCCCACATTGAAATCCTGGTTGAAGAGCCAGGTCTTTGATACACTTATGAACAACAACAGATGAGGATTATTCAGATCCTATTCCAAAGGGCAGGACTGCTATAAAGATGGCACATTTTCAGGGCCCTAGAAGATGGTATTGTGTAATCCAAGGCAGAGGTCCCCAACCTGTGGGCTGAGACCCACTACTGGGCTGCAGTCTATTCACAACTGGGCCCCACTCACATAAACGTCTCAGGTGCTCACAGCCCCACTCATGTGAGTAACAGTTGCTTGCCTGCCCCTCCCACAAAACCATCACCTCTTTCCCCCCTCCCTTCCACTACGGGCCACTAACTAACCCCAAAAGGTTGGGGAACTCTGATCCAAGGAACACAGAGCATCCCAACCCTTAAGGACTGAATTGTCTGGACATGTGTTATGGGAGACATACATTCCCTCAAATAAGGAGGCCCTATACCATATAGGGCTGTTTATGGATAACAAGTAGCACCTCGTATCATACCTGGGCGTAAACTGGCAACCAATATGGCTCATTAAGCAGAGATGTGGCCTTCCCATAACTGCTGCATTCTTGTAACGGTATGTGGGAATTAGGGGTGAAATGCTACCGGTTTGGACCGGTTTTCCCGAACCAGTAATAAAAAATGTTACCGGTTCAGGAGAACTGGTATTCCAACGATCAGCTGGGTGACAATCAGCTGTGATGCGTGATTTATATTAGCTAGAATAGTCAGATTTCTCGCTTTGTAGCTAATCTAAATCGTGTGGCACAGCAGATTCCTCCCCTCACTGTTCTACTTACTTTTGCAGACTCGGAAGGCTTCAAAATGTTCCTTTTTTAGTGTTCCACAGGTGCGCCTCAGGTGCATATGCACGCATGCGTGCCCGCAGCACGTGCTTGGTAGCAGACTCACATAGCAGACTTCAGAGGATTTCACTGCTGGTGGGAATGTTATTGGGAGATTGGGCGGAGCTGGGGGGAGGGGAGCCGCAGCCAGGAGAACAATTGGATAAGAGGCAGTTTAGCTCACAAAATGATTATGGGCACAAAAAATGTCTCGGAAGGGACCCTGTCTACTTTCTTGGGCTGTAAAGGTGACAAGGGGGTGACAAGGGGAAAAATGTACTTTTGCACTTGAAGACTGATGTCAGCCTTGAAAGATAGTCCAGACAAGAAGTATGCCCAGATGAACTAATTCAAGTTTATTGTAATGTTATATTAACACAATCTTACGAGACCTCTTGTTGTGGCTCTTCCCCTGTCTTCCAAGGCAATTACTACATATCATTACAATTCTGAACCAGTTGAAGCTTCTGGTTGTTTTTCAAGAATAGCCCCATGTAGAGAGCAGTAGTAGTCAAGTCACAAGATAATTAGAGTATAAATTATTTAAGTCTCTGAAGTGTTCCTAATCTGGGAAAGGGTGAAGTGACATACCAGTTATGCAAAAGCCTTCCTAGTCACAGTTGACACTAGCTCTTTAAGCAGGAACTATGAGTCCAGGGAAAACCCTGGATTGTGAATCAATCTTTAGTAGAAAGTGCTGCCCCATCCAAGGTCAAAAATGAATATCCCCAATTGGTCTTTTAATTCTTCTTTTACTTTGTCCAGTAGTGGTAAAAAGCATACAGATAAAAATGTATTTAAATTGCTAAATATTTGGCTAGTATTTTCCCAAGATCTGTACAACAAACAACGTCACACAATATTTATTAATAAATTATTCAGTTATTCAAGAGTTGGTCCTTCTGAATTCAAAATGGTATCAACAATACATACAGAAAGAAATATATTAGATTTATCGAAAACAAAGATTAAGAACAAAATTAATTTAAGGACCTCAAAGTAATCATGAAAATAATGAGTATCCATGAAATGCTGATTGTTAGGACGAAGAAACAGAAAACTGAACAATGAGCAAATGAAAATGACAGAAACCTGAATGGGACTATTTGAAGGCAACTGGGGTTTTTAGTTTTGAGTAAAGATAGATAAGAGAAAAGTAGAAATATTATTGATTGTTCCAGTTATAGTCTTCTTTTACTCTTGGAAATTCCAGGCAATATACAGAGATAGCTCCCCCTTTCCCTCCTTGCATAGTATATTGAGCTAAGAGATGACTGGTTCGAAATTGGCTAGCTCACATGATGGCTTCAAGCTTGGTCTTCCCAATTCAGACACTATATCAAGCACTCTGCATAACCATGCATAAAATCATGTATGATATGGAGAAAACAGTTTTTTCCTCACTCAAAATAGAACTTGAAAGATATCAACTAAAACAAACTTTAAGGAGTTTTCGAAATAAGGAACAGTACATATTGCAGACTTAAAAAAAGCAGAATTCACTGCCACCAGAAATACCAATGGTCACCAAAATACAGTTTTAAAAGGGTACTGAATTTAGGGAATTAAAAGTCAGTGTTCCGTATTTAATCTCTCTGGAATCCTTTCAGTGTATTTTATCTACCAGCAGCCAGGGAAGGACAATAGAGAAGCCATTCAGTCTACACATGTGAGCTTTCAAAATACATCCCGCTATCCTGTGTGAAAAACTGAGCAGATCCAGCAGGACTTTTTCTCTGTTCTTATCATAGTATAACATTTTGCTGCAAACCACGTTGCATTTGAATCAGTGGTGGGTTGCTACTGGGTTCGGGCAAACTGGTAGTGGCAGCGGCTGCGAGAGGCTCTGCCCACCCGCCTGGATGTCATCAAAGATGCTCTGCACATGCACAGAAGCACCACACGCTCCCTATAGCGAACCAGTAGCGAATAAAATTGAAATCCGCTACTAATTTAAATCATAAAATAATTTTTTCTTCCCCATTATACGAAGGCCTTCTGTCATTTACCCTTACTAAACATTGTGTTCTTTGGAGACAGGAAATAATAACATGATTTCAATTCCTTAATCTCCCATAGAATGACTCATTTGGTAAGCTTCGGATTCGATATTTATACTGGAGATTTCTCTGAATCAGCTCAAGCACTCAAACCATTAAAACTGCATTTTAGGGGATTGGAAATTAAGCTTTTCTGCTGGTGCTCTCAAATGTTGTTGATGCAAGGATGTGCTATGAGGTAGAATTGGATTTGCTGATGTCATTACAGTATTATTCCCTTTATAGGGCATTTCCCTTCCTTCCTTTATCAATTAGACTTACTGCTGCTATGCTTTTTTAAATATATGCTGAGTCTCTCAGGATTTTGAATACTTTACTTTCTTGTAGGTCAGCAAATCTGAGGCTGTTATGTAGCTAGCAGCAGGTTTCCGATTTTTCTGACACTAAGTATTACTAATATCAGAGGCATTTCTCTAAAATTTGATGCAGCCAAGAAACAAACTGTTGTCTCTTCTTGGAGGCAACACCCAGCTGCACAGAAAATTCACTCTTTCTGCTTCTGGCAGTTTAAATACATCATGAGATCTAATAAACCACGTATATCCAGGTAGCTACAGGTAAGGATAAAAAGAATGAATCTGAAAGAAATCTGTAAAAAAAGGAAATGTAACAAAACATTGCTAACTGGATATTTGGATATTGGATATTTAGCATTTTGTGTACGAATTTCACATCCCTGCTAGAAGACAAAGGGAGGTTGATCATAGCAGAATATTTTGGTAGATATTTTGGCTTCTGTGCAAGTTTTTTAGGCATCTCTGTTGTGGGCACAGCTGTTGTTTGGGTTTTGTAAAGAAAGGAAGTCATAATCCACATATTTCTGCTTCCCCTAGTCAAAACTTTTTCTTTCCCACCATCCTTATCACTTTGTTTATTTTTTCCTCCACAATCTTCACTGCAGAAAAATAGCACATCTCCAGGTGCAGTATCTCCAATCTGTATGCAGAAATACAGTGGGGGAAAACTATGTTTGGGTGGGGGAAATTTTCTACTCCTTGCTATAATTTTTTTAAATTGCATAAATGGGAATTATTCTTGTATACGTTGATGGATCTGACTTGTTTTTCTAAATTGTCATATTTCAAAGTGTGACTAGTGACTTAAATATGCTTATATAACACGCTGCATGAGATCAACAGGGCCAAAAGTGTTGTGCTGCAGATTTTCATAGGTACTCAAAGGTCTGATGCATCTTGCTGCAGTGTCTAACAATAGTCAGCCAGCATTGATGGATTCCAGTTGCCCTGATACCATTTTTCCATTGTGGCAATGTCGTGGTGAAACTTTTCACCATATTCTCACTGACTAAATCTAGATTTTTGGGAAAGAAGCCAAATGTGAATGCAGAAAATGAATCTTCAATAACATGTTGTGCTTCATGATCTTGTATGCTGTAAGAAGTTTGTCAGTAGCTGAATGTAGTCTGGGTGCCCTGTAGTTGCCACGATAATTCTCAACGACATCCTTGAATTGTATACCCTTGACTGAAGATTGGTACACTCCTTCTATCTAGGATGGTCGTTTTCTTCCACCGAGCGTGCAGCTTTGGGAGAGATGCACATGGAGCGGTGAGGGAGGAAGGGGACACCCGCCTAGCCAGCCAGATCAGCCGAATCAACCCTGGCGAACAATGGGGTGACAGATGTCACAGCCAGATCGCCCTCATATCCTTTGAATGTTTTCCAGACTATTTTCTCTGGCCCCACTAACAGACTTTCGGACTGCTTGTCATTGATGATATATTTGATGTGTGGATAAACAAAAATGCCTTCTTTAATCTTGGCATCAATTATTCTTGGAAACAGCTGTCTCAAACAATGAAAACCTTCACCTTCCATGTTCATCACTTTCACAAAAGTTTTCACCAAGTTTTATGTGAAACAGAAGCAAAAATATCTTTGTAGGCTCAATAAGTGGTTCATGTGCCATGCTTTTCTGTCCTGAAACAAATTCTTTTAGCATGGCCATTTTTCTTAATGTAACGTGAATCTCTTTCAACATGTAACACCTCATTCACACATGTAACATGTAACACCTTATTCACACATGTAACAACAGTATATCTGAGCTGCATTTCAAACTACAGAACCAATACTTTTAGATCTCTACAGATATTCCAGTTGCATTTGATGGACAGGACAACAACAGTTACATGTTTTTGTGTTTCTTTCATGGGTTCAGATATCCAATAGGTACTGGAGTGTACACTGAAAAAAAGAAAATTTCTAAAAACTGAATGTAAGTTAAATTACAGGTTATTTTTGTGATTTGCAATCAAATATTTATAAGGAACACCCAAAAGTGCTCAGGGAGCAAAATATTTGTTATCCAATGTACGTGTTTTACTGCAGGTTTGAAAGGAAACTACAGCCACCTATCTCCACAACCTCCATCTCAGACACACCAACAACAGCCAAGCCTCCTACAACTGACCCCATCCCATTGGGTTCACAACCCCTAGTGATCACAGAAAAGGAAGTGCAAGACCTATTTCAAGACAAAAGCCAGAAAAAGCTCCAGGCCCAGACAAGATAACTCCTTCTTGCTTAAAAGTCTGTGCTGACCAATTGGCCCCCATCTTCACCCGAATCTTCAATTACTCACTAGAGATGTGCTATGTTCCTTCTTGCTTCAGATGCTCTACTATCATCCCAGTGCCGAAGAAGCCCACCATCAAGGAACTGAATGACTACAGACCAGTTGCTCTAACATCTGAAGTCATGAAAACCTTTGAAAGGCTAGTGCTGTCCCACTTCAAAATCATCATGGATCCGCTGTTAGACCCCTTGCAATTTGCATACCGAGCAAGTAGATCAACAGATGATGCTGTTAATATGGCTCTGCACTACATCCCACAACATCCTGAATCTCCAAAGACTCCTCTTTGTAGACTTTAGTTCAGCATTCAATATCATCATTCCAGACACTCTTCTAACTAAGCTAAACCAGTTACAGGTACCTGAACACACATGTAAGTGGATCATAAGCTTCCTAACAAACAGGAAGCAGCAGGTGAAGCTAAGCAGAATCACATCAGATACCTGTACAATTAGCATAGGGTCTCCCAAGGCTGTGAGCTCTCCCGCTTCTCTTCTCTCTGTATACCAATAACTGCAACTCTAACGATTCATCTGTTAAACTACTGAAGTTCACAGATGACACAACAGTAATCGGTCTCATTCGAACAATGATGCCTCGTGATGGGACCAGAACAATCTGGAACTGAACACACTCAAAACCATAGAAATGGTGGTAGACTTTAGGAGAAACCCTTCCATACTTCCACCTCTCACAATACTAGACAACACAGTATCAACAGTAGAGATACTGTGGTAGAAATTTCTACCATATCACAAGATCAAAAATGGACAGCTAACATCAAAAATGTCATAAAAAAGCACAACAAAGAATGTTCTTTCTGCGCCAACTCAGAAAGCTCAAACTGCCCAAGGAGCTGCTGATCCAGTTCTATAGAGAAATTATTGAGTCTGTCATCTACACCTCTATAACTGTCTGGTTTGGTTCTGCAACCCAACAAGACAGATTCAGACTTCAGAGGATAATTAGAACTGCAGAAAAAACAATTGCTACCAACCTGCCTTCCATTGAGGACCTGTATACTGCACGAGTCAAAAAGAGGGCTGTGAAAATATTTACATCGCATCCTGGACATAAACTGTTTCAACTCCTACCCTCAAAATGACGCTATAGAGTACTGCACACCAGAACAATTAGACACAAGAACATTTTTTCCCAAACACCATCACTCTGCTAAACCAATAATTCCCTCAACACTGTCAAACTATTTACTAAGTCTGCACTACTATTAATCTTCTCATCTTCTCATCATTCCCATCACCCATCTCCTCCCACTTATGACTATAAGACTGTAACCTTGTTGCTGGTATCCTTACGATTTATATTGATATTGTTTCCTGATTGGTTATTTGTAACCTATGAGTATCATTAAGTGTTGTACCTTATGATTCTTGATGAACATATCTTTTCTTTTAAGTACACTGAAATCATATGCACCAAGACAAATTCCTTGTGTGTCCAATCACACTTGGCCAATAAAAATTCTATTCTATTTTATTCTATTCTACCAGGGGACCTATACCTTAAGCTGAGAAGCTGGGAAAAAAATCTTCCTCCCCCAGGAACTGCAAATCACTTTCCTATTGCTACCAAAACTATATGGGCATGTAAACTTGCAGTCTCTAAGTCCACTTCAGTTGATTAATGAGAATTACACTTTGACCTGATTGCATGTGGCTTTGAGGAAGGGCTGTGGCTTTACAGATAGGTCTAGTCTGGAAGGAACAGCATGCATAACCTGGTGTCTTTCAAGATTTTTCAATTTCATTTCAACCCAAAGGCAGCCATGTTTGCTGAGGCTTATGAGCTTTTTAGTTCAATCCATTATCCGAAAGACTTGTCGATCTTATTCCCATTCCTGTTAGTGGGAAATAATCACCACTTACAGAAAATAGTGATAAAGACTACATGCTTTATGTTAAAAATGAGAAATTGATGGTGTTTATGATATTTTCATTATTTCAAAATTAGATAGTATAACACATTTTAAGGTGAAATGCATGCATTATACAGTAACGATGGATTTCTTGAATGGCAGCAGTACACTTTTTTGTGGTAGTGAAGGTAAAGACAGAATCTCCCACTTTCTATACACTCTCTCTGCTGTAGCAGATTTTGTTTACGTTTTCTTTAAAAGGCTATGTAACAAGACATGACATGTACGCGTACACGTTGCATTACGCACAATGCTCGAATACACGCGGGAGCATAAAATTAACGTGGAAGTGGTGGCTCCTTAGAAAGTAAGGAGGGAGAGAGGAGATATGGCTCTTTTTTTTTTTCTAGAGAAAGTTTCCAAAAGGATCGAGCCTTTCTCCCTCTTTCTCCTTCCCCCACCCCGTTTGCAACGTGTTGCAATTCCGTTTAGTATACTCCCGGTTGCCAAACCGCTGAAAGTTTGCCTCCACTTTGGAAGTCTTAAAGAAAGCTTTCCTCCCTCCCTCCCTTCCCACCCGCCCCTTTTCCCTTCCGCCCACAACTGGCTGGGCAGCCAGTGGGGTTCGTGACGCAGCGTCTGAATTCTTAGAGGGCAGGGAGGGGCTTGGGGGGGGGCTCTCCCTTTTTCCCATCTCCCCGTCTTTCTCTTCCATCACTTTCCTAACGGGAGGAGGGCTTGGAGGTGGAAAGCTATTGCGTCCAGACAGCGCGGCGACGGGGAGCCGGAGGATCCAAGAGGAGAAAGAGGACCCACCGCGTCTCAGCGAGTTGTCTTCTCACCTCCTCCGAGATGAAGCTTCCCAGACCCAACTCTTCAACGCTGCCTCGCCTGCTAAGTTACACCCTGGGCATCCTCTTCATCCTTGAGGTCGGACTCTATGCTCTTCCTTCAGGTATGCTCCCTTCCCCCCCCCTTCCAAATTTGCGACGTTTTGAGATGGGTGTGGGTTGGGAGAAGACGATTGTAGTACACTCTGCATTTTTTTCTTTTTTCTTTTTTAAAAAGGAGTAGGATCCTGAGTCCAAACTAATTTAGCAAATTTCCCCACCATTTCTTCCTCCTTTATTTTGGACAGTTGTACGGCCCTTGGGGGTGTGTGCCTGCGAGTGGTAAAGGAAGGAGAGACCTGAATGAAACCAGATGTGGCTTGGAATGGCAAAGGGAGGGGACTGGTTGGCGTGAATGACAGGCTGTTTTTTAAACTTGCTTCTCTTGCCCCTCTCCAACAACAACACCAGCAACAAAAGCCATCTATAGTTGGAAGAGTTGCTTTCCAGAGTTGCTTTGCATTTGAACAAATTCTCTAGGAAGGGAAATTGGCACTAAAACTGCAATCCCAATACTCGGAGTTAGATTTGGGAATTTCACTCTCCAACAACTGTAATTCAGTTCTGCTACTCTCAACGTGTCCAGGCATAATAAAACCCATTTACAGTACATCACTTCGTGCCAGTCAACCTTTGTAAGGATGCAAGAATTAATTTTATTTTATTTATTAGATTTTTACCCTATCTTTATTACTTTATATGTAACTCAAGGCAGGAAACATACATATTACTTCCTCATCCTATTTCTCCCACAGCAACAACCTTGTGAGGTAGTTGGGCTGAGAGAGAATGACTAGCCAGCTTTCATGCCTGTGGGGGAGCCAGAACTCGGTCTCTGGTTTTTAGACCAGCACCTTAATTACTACACCAAACTAGCTCCCCCCAAAAACAAAGAATGGTCCAAACATGCAAAAAATGTTACCGGTTTGTGCTGGAGAGGAAGGTAGATGAGAGATACGGATACATGTTAAATTCTCAATGTCTGTTTTATGCTTGTTTCCCCTCCCCACTTTTTTTTTTTTTTTTTGCCAAATTGGGAGGAAATTTAATAGACCAATCCAGAGACAGATCAATGGCATTTTTTTTAAATAAAAAAATTACTTTTGCTCTCACTCCAGCTTTTTTAAAAAAGTTTTTTTATTTGTATTTCTCATAAACACATTTACATGTACAGTCATTTATCCATCATTTTTCATTCATCTTATCTTTTAACTTTCATTTTTCATTTTTACTTTTTGGGGGCTGCTCTTTTACCATTTACCTTTACTCCAAACTTTCTTCTTCTCTTCCCCTTCTCTTCCTTCCTCTTTCTCTTCCTACTTTCTTCGTTCTTCCTCTCCTTCTCTTTCCTACTTCCCCTTCCCCCACTCTTCTCTTCTAACCTTCTCTTCTACTCCTCTTTCCCGTCCCTTTCCTTGCCTTTCCCCTTCTTTCTCCTTTCCTCTCCTCTCCTCTCCTCTCCTCTCCTCTCCTCTCCTCTCCCTTCCTCTCTCTCTACTCCTTCCCCTCTCTCTTCTTGTTCAGTTCAATCTAAAGTGGTATTCGAGCAGCCCCGATTTTCTAATTATCTTTATTCTCATTTCAATTTTTTATTCAATTAATATTTACTTTTATTTCATCATTTGTGTACACTTTTACTGATCAATTAACTGATGAAAACAATAGCATTGCAGTGTGATGTATATCTGAAATTACCCATGATCTTGTTTGTTGCAAAGACTTGAAATAATAACAGGTTAACATATAACAATTCAAAGGAGGAGATGCTGTTTGCCATATCTATTTAAACATGTGACTTTGCCATTATTGGACAGATCTGACTTAAAATAGGAAGATCTGTAGCCATGAATGCCATACCAATTTACTTTCATCAGTCGGAAATGGTTTTATTTGTATGCAAAGTTATAGAAAAACCAAGTTGTAACTAAATTATACTATGATTGAAAGAGCTAAGAAAAACATCAATACAGATAGTCCTTGGTTAAGAAAGCAATTGGGACTGGAATTTGTGTACAATGTGGTCATAAAGCACAATATCACCTGACTGCATTACTTAGCAACAGGCAGTCCCAGATGCCGATGTAGCCGCAGGAGTGTGCAGGCTGTTAAATGGGAAGAGGTGTGAGAAGCTGGCAAGGAAGGTCATAACTGATGATCATGTCACCTGCCCTGGGACATGATCATCCAAACTGTGATCATGTGACTGCTGCGACAGTTGGAACTTCAAGAACCAATTGTAAGTACCACTTGCTTAGGGCCATGCTAAGTTTGAACTAGTGGTGAAATGCAGCCGGTTCTATCCGGCTCCGGCGAAGCGGTAGCGCAGGCAGCGGGAGTTTCCGCCCATCCACCAGGACATCATCACATCCCATTTTTGACCCTCTGCGCATGCGCAGAAGGCTCTGCGCATGTGTGGAGGAGGTGCGCACGCTCACATTTATGAACTGGTAGCAAAGGTAAATGAATTTCAGTCCTGGTTTGAACGGTCACTGAAGGAATGGTTGTAACATGAGGACTACTTGTATTATCACAGATTTTTCCTTATTCCATTTTCCTGTGAGTTTTCAAGATTCCATTCAACCTTAGAAATTACTTTCATTTTTCTTTGGGATGAATGGGAACAAAGACCTCCTGTTTTCATAGCAATTTAAATAATATTCAGGTTTCACTACACTACACTACAGTACAAAACAAGAGTGGGAAAACTCAGGCTTTCAGATGTTGCTGAACTTCTATTTTCTAGCACAGTGATGGCAGTGATGATAACCTTTTTGACATTGTGTGTTAAAAGTGGGGGAAGTGTGGGGGGTTGCACACATGTGTGCTCACATCCATATTTTTATGCGTCCTGCCCCCCACGCAAATGGGTGCCCGACCCCCCGTGTGCTCCCCCGCTTTTGGCATGCGATAGCAGAGTGGGCCCGGTAGCCCATTTTTCACTTTCCCCAGGCTCCAGAGCCTTTCTATAAGTCTGGGGAGGGTGAAAATAGTCTTTCCCACCTCCCCAGACTCCTAGAAAGGCTCTGGAGCCTGGTGAGCATGAAAAATGGGTCTTCCGGTCCCACCGGAAGTCGGCAAATCGGCTGTTTCCAGCCTCCAGAGGATCTCCCGGGGAGGGGGGAGGCCATTTTCGCCCTCCCCAGACTCCTAGAAAGGTTTTGGAGCCTGACAAGAGCAAAAAATGGGCCTTCCCTACTCCCCTGGAGGCCAGAAACAGCTTGTTTCCTGACTTCTAGTGGGCCCATCTGTGGCACACATGCCATAGGTTCGCCATAACGGGTCTAGCACCTCTGGTCATTGATCATGCTGGTTAGACTGAATTTTCTAAAGAGAATCAAGAGATATATCCCTTTCTCCCTACTATCCACTCTTCGTTGAGTAGCAATTTTTTTTTGCTATTATTCCAATTGTCAGTTCCCATCCTGTTTCTCTTGAATCTTTTTGTCAGAGTGCACACAGCATGTCTATTTTGAGACAATCCAAGATATATACATACATGTACTAGGCAAAGTCAGGCAATCAATCATCAACTATAGCATGGAAGCACACACGGAGAGAGAGATACGCCCTCACAGGGCCTCTCTTATATTACAGCCTCTTAAAGTGGTAGAAGTCAAATACCCCTCCTGACTCTTTGATACCATTGCATCATCGTTACATGTTACAACATTACAGCAGCTGGTCATCTATTAAATCATCATTACTCTGACACTTTTGAATATTCTTGATCT